GCCAGAGAATTACAAATGCAGCAGCTAATATTGTGACTGGCCTGAGATTTGTGAGAGCTGTCAGTCTCTGTTCACCTGCAGAGGGCGATGTGCAGTCAGTAGAGTGATTACCTGTATGTATTCACAATTGGATGATGTCAGTACAGGTTTTGTACTGTACTGTATATGTTGTGTACTATTCTTATGTGGTGTTTTGTTTATTTTGTTATCCACTAATACTTTTCACATTTATTCATTCATTCATTCATTGCTTCGTTCATATTTAGGATAAAGTTTGTTGTTCACCTTCCCGTTCATTCATTCATATTTAAGATTCATTTTGTTTTCACCAATATGTTCATTCATTCATTCATTCATTTAATAATTTAATATTGATTAATTCATTTATTAATTCAATCATTCATTCATATTTAGGATTCATTTTGTTATTCACCAATATGTTGCACCATTCATTCATTCATTCATTCATTTATTTATTAATTCATTTATATTTATAATTAATTTTGTTATTCACCAATATGTTGCACATTCATTCATTCATTCATTCATTCATTCATTCATATTTAGCATTCATTTTGTTATTCAACATTGTTTCACAGTCATTCATTCATTCATTCATTCATTCATTCATTTTTAGGATTTATTGTTATTCACCAATATGTTGCACATTCATTCTTTCATTTCTTTCATCCATAAATTGTTTTATTTAGTTGGATTAATCATTAATTGGTTTATTAATCAGTTCATCCATCCATTCATCCTTCATTCATCTTAACATTTTATGTCTAATTCTACTTTAATATCTGTTTATTTGTTTATACTTTTCATTAATGTCTTTATTTACATAGCATGTTTATTTTTGTTTGGTCAATTAATTTTATTTCAGTTTATTTTTGAGCGTAGATTTATTCATTAATTTGTTCATTATTAATTAATTGCTTATTTGCATATCTGCTTATAAATATCTATTTAATGTATCTTGGAAGATTTATTTATTTATTTGTTTATTCACGTTTAACCCAGTGGTTTAAAAAATGTCTCCACATTTGTCAGTCTGATCAGCTGATGAGGTGAAAGATTACAGCTCGAGCTCACATTAGACTACATCAGCTTCATCAATCACACTGGAGAATAGAAGGTCAAGTCAAGTGCATTGCTTTGTAAAATACAGTAACCCATGCCATTTGCTCTGTTTTATTGTGTTCTTTTTGCCAGTTGTATATTTTGTGATATTCTGTGTAGAGAAAAAACCTCTGCATACAGTGTCTATATTTAAACATGCACAAACACAAAGGCAATATTAAGGAAGCATAACAACATATTACATATTTCTGCGGTACAAGGGCTGCATAATAAATTGAAAGAGGATCGTTATCACAGCAATGGTAAATGCCTTATACATAGTAGGACTGCACAATATATCGTTTAGGCATCAATATCGCAATGTGTGAGTCTGCAGTAGTCACATCGCAGGCATCTGCAATGTAATTGACCATTACAGTTACAACAAAGTGGAGTCATTTCATATTTTAACTTTAGAGTAAGAATTTGAAGCAAACTTCAGCCATTTGGGCACAAAATAAATGTTTGCAGCTCAAAGTTGAATTGAACATTATATAATTACTTAATTAAAACAATACAGTGTTATTATTATGATTATACAGTGATTTTATTTTTATTTCTGCTTCTAAATACTGTTTGACCGCCCAGAAACTAAAAAACAATTGTTTGCCTATTGTACTATATACTTGTCATTTTAAAATGAAATTTAGTGCAGATATGCAACCCGACAAAATCATCCCAATTCTAAAATTAGGAATTCTTTACAAACTGTTCAAGCCATTTGGTAAAATTGCCTTTATATGGCAATATATAATGCAGTGAATGCAAACATTGCAGTATATTTTCTTCTAATATCATGCAGCCCTAATCCATATCGCAGAAAGTGCAATAAATTAAACTAGTGCCAAGCTTTTGTTTGCTTCATGCATATCATGCATATTCCAAATCTAACCAATCAGACGGGGCTTTTATGATCTATATATCAGGGGTTCTCAACTGGTTTGGCCATGGGACCCACATTTTTACATGGTCATCAAGCCGCGACCCAAATTTTTAGGAACTATTATACAATTTTCGGGATTATAATTAATTTGTATTTATTTGTTAACACACACAAGTAGTGACTGATAAATCATAATAACATCACCAAGACTTATAAATAAATGCTATCATTTAACAAAATGTATCAATATATAGAAATATTACAAAGTAAAGACAACAAATACTGTAAACAGTGGTTATGGTAAGGAAAGGTTAAGTTACCATGAACTAAATTGAACTGTTAATAAAACATGTTGACTGGTTTCTAAATGTCGTTGTAATTTAGAAGGTTTTGTGCTCTTTTGTGAGAGCACCTCGCTACTTATTACACACTGAGGCTTTAAGTTTTTTTTTTTTTCGTCAATACCTGTAAATCCATACTCTACATATTCAGGGTCGTACTTCCGCTTTGACATATTTGTTGCTATAATTAAATGAAATTTCACATGTCAAACGGTACTGTTGTTGTGCCCGCATTTCAAAATAAAAGTCAAAATAGCTTAAAAAATTTTTTAACCACACACTCCGCGACCCACTAAAAATATTCAGTGGGTCGCGACCCACCAGTTGAGAAACACAGATCTATATCCTCACCTTTCCAGTAGAGGTGCTGTTAGGTGCAGTAAGCTGATAGTAAATGCTTATGCTGGGAGACAACAAGAAAATGACAATCGACAATAGGAATCAGAATTTGCCCCAAGATTTTCAGTCGTGCGTGGTGAAAAATTTTGATTATTTCTTTTACAATTTAACTTTTATTCTATTGCTGATAAAACAGTGTTTTGCATGTTAGTTATATTGTGATAAATAATGTCGTTGCAACACTCAACAATAAATCATATTTTCCAAACATTCTGCAGCCCTATTCAGAAGTATGCAGTGTGAATACTGTATGTGCTCAGACCTTTGTAGCCACAAGTCCAATTATATTTGCCTGGACTTGACTCTCTGTGATGAATGAACTGCGAGTACTTAGATTTTTATCTCTTTACTCATTCAATCATAATGCCAAAAGTCAACATTTACACAACCCTGGATTAAAAATGCAAATAATATTGCATACACTTTAGGGCAATTCAGTGTAATTACACGATTAAGTACTGAGTAATATTAGGTAGCTACATGTATTTACTATAAGGTCACAGTTAGGGTTTGGTTTAGGGTTAATTAGTTTTAATTATGCATAATTTACTATTAATATTATTTTTAATGGTTTGTAGATGCAAATTGTCTTTTATTAAACATGTGGCATATATGGTTATTTTTCCTGAGTTTTTTTTACTATTTTATTATGATTAACAGATGGCATTCATTAAAATGTCATTCAGTATAATAATTTAAATAGCTAAAAATAAATAAAATATAGATCACAGTAAAGCCCCAAAATTCAAAGGCTTTGCCAGGTTTGACCTATTTTACAGCATGTTTTTAATAATTGGATATATTGTACATTTTAGTCTTATAAATATAATATTTATTCAATATTCATTATAGTCTTTATAATGTAAATGTAGTTATAGTCTAGTGTTTAATAAATGCATCTCAGAATAAGTTTCTTCCATTTCTGTTTGTAGTTATATGGTATATCAATATGTGTAAAACATTATTAACCTATTTGACCTTATATTTTTCTATAGGGAATTAAAAACAGTACACAAAGTTAATGTAGACATTTACAATTTGACTTTTGTTGCTGCATTAGTTTTTAATCATTTATGCTCTGATATATTTTAATAAGTTGTTTCGGTTTTGCGTAAATATATCTGTTAAGCTAATTTATGGTGATTTATTTCACTTCTTTTTAGACATTTTATTTGCTAAACCTATTAAACGGAGCATTTTTATTTGTCATATTTAAACATATTATTTGTAAATAGGCATCATATTTATGCTCTTTTGATTATGTAAAGTCTCTTTAGTTCAATTCTATTTGTTATAAACACCAAAATGGGGCATCTCACCTTTGACCTTTAAGTATAATGTAGCCAAGTTATCTTAATATAAGTGTTACAATTAGTGGTGGGTGAAATTACTTACTGTAATACTTATCTAAAGTGAGGGATATCTTTTAATTTTTAGGTAATTTAATTACATATAATGCCCTTGCCTTAAATACAGGATAAATTAAACAGTTCTATATATTGACTCAGAGAAGCAGAGTAATAAATATTTTAGGTACTGTTACTTATTATTCGAGTAATCTCCATTTAAGGCTAACACTGATGTTTCTGTAAACTGCCAATCTCACATTTGTTTTTGCACAAGTTTTACTTCTTTATAAGCAAAAGGTTTTAATTATTTAACAAAAGAATACAATTCAGTATGATCACTTTTCCTTATTGAAAATAATGTATTATAAGAAGGTTGTTTCATTTTGCGTAAATGCAAGTTAATTTAAATCATTACAGTAAACGTTTATTTGCCTTTAATATGCTTATAATTTGATCCTGACCCTAAAAATCTTAATGTTAAACTAAGTTACCTTAAAGTGTTCTCATAATGTTTTATTTTATGCTTTTCTATGCATTAAACAGCATTGGAAATATATGAAATGAAATTAAATCAAACTTTTAAAATCAATACACGTATAGCACACTGTACTAGTAGTGAGCACATAGCCTTCCAAGTGTCTGTAGTCACTGCCAATTGCACTTCTGTTGCTGCGTAGATTTTACCTATTCATCAGCAAAAAGTGTTTAATCACTTAAAACGGAATGATATCCAGTATGATCACTTATGCTCTCAAATAATTTAGCAAGCAGCTTTTTGGTTTTGCAAAAATGTATGTGTTGCGCTAAATGAACATTATTCTTTCATATTTTGACTTTTATTTTGCCAAAGTTAATTTGAGCCATTGCAGTAGACGTTTATTTACCTTAAATACTCTATCTTTAGAGATAATATGGCTTTGATTTGATTCTGACCCCAAAAGGAACACCTTCATGTGCAAGTAAGTGACCTTAAAATATTAAGTGTATTTCATTTACACTTCTCTACACTTCCTGTTTATTCAAACTGCTTAATTCTTGAGATTTTGGGTGGGAAAAAACGTAATTGTTTTCTGCTCTATCCACTTAAATTTGTAAACTAATAGGTTAACTTATTTCCTTCATTTTGTGTAAACACAAATTGATTAAGCAGTTTTTTTTTACAGTGAATATATTAAACTTCAATGGAATCGTGTGACAAAAACATTTTAAAATCAATAGCGAGCATGTTGAACTTCAAGGCCAACACTAAAGTTTCTTTGGACAGTTTCACTTTGGTTGCTTTATAGGTTTTACCTATTTGTCAGCAGAAAGTTTTGAATCACTTAAAACAGGTTTGAATTAAAAATGTGCTGTGCTGAATGTACATTATTCATTCATAGTATGACTTTATTTTGTCGAAGTTCATTTGAATCATTGCAGTAGATGTTTGTCTTTTAAATTTTTATTTTAAATTTTAAATTTTATACATATATCACTTTGGTACATTTAATTTGATTTGGACCTCAAAAAGCACATCATGTGCAACTGAGTTACCTTAAAGTATTATCGTAGTATTTTATTTACACTTTTCTAAACAAGAAAAGTGACACTTGCTGTTTGTTTTATCTGCTCATTTAAAATGAGCTGGAACAACACCATTCTTGAGTTTTTGGGTGGGAAAACTTAATTTTTTATGTTCAATCTACTTAAATTTGTAAAAAAAAACGAATAAGTTAACTTAATTCCTTTATGTTGTCCCAACACAAATCAATTGTGTGGAACAGTGTATCCACACAGTGTATGTATTAAACATAATGTGGCAAAATCGTTTTCAAATCAACAGTGTTTGTGTTGCATTTCAAGGCCAACACTGAAGTAGACACTGCCAATTTCACTTTTGTTGCAACTCGCATGTTGACCTCACACATAGCTGTCAAATACCTCTTCTGGTTTCTGCGGCTTCTCCCTGCTCCATCACAGCCCTGTGACTGTAATGACTGAAAAACACACAGAGTCGCAGGAGCAGACGAGCAAGACCAGGCGGCTTCGTCTGGCAGCCGTTCCCGTGTGATCCCTCGGCAGGAGGAGGAGCGAGAGCTTGCCTCGCAGGTACGGCCACCTCCAGACAGATGAGCCTGGTGACAGCGGGACGCAACAACCTGCAATTCTTCTGTCTGACTCGATCCGTCAATGTCCCCGTCCCCACAAACGCAACTCCCCTGTATGGGCAGGCAGAGATAGTTTCGCAAAAGTGGGCCCGCAGGAATTGGCGATAATGAGCACGTTTGCTCGCACCTGTGATGGCACGCAGAAATGAAAAACAAACAGTCTGCTTCATTTGCACACGCTGATGATTCACGTCCTGAGAATAGATTGAGGAAATGGCAGGAATGCAACATAGGCCCGCGTTTTGAGATTCCTCTCCGGGGCGCTTATCTGGTTTGTGCGATTTGGTGTCTTGATAAAACGCATCTGTTTGTTTTATCTCTTTCTTGAGGGCCTCTTTGAACTGCAGACAATGACGGGTTGTCTTGTGAGTTGTGAGGGCCCGACGCTGACCAGCCACAAGGTGGCGCTCACCCTCAACAAGCATCTCCCAAGTTCACAGGGTTTTTTTTTTTTTTCCTCCACACTGCTTTGAGCATGCTGATGTATCATGGCGCAATGAAAAGGAGGAAATGAGAGGGGGGACATAAATGTGTTTGGTGCATGCAGGGACTAATGGAGTCTACCTTTGCCAGTACATTAGGAACAAAACAAGAGAGGTGAGAGGGAGAGCGCCACCCGTCCGAGACAGAGCGGTCGTGCCCTAATGGAGAAGGGAAATAGAAGTTGGTGTCGGTGAAATGCCAGGCCTCTGGCTGTGTTGTTGATACATTTGTTTCCTGTTAGTCCACTTATTTATGGTCAAGGGTTTCTTCATTGCCTCATAGTGATTCATTACGTGCGAGAATGAGGTCAGGAGAAAGGTTGTGGCAATTAGTTACATTTAAGAGGCAATTTTTGCCCTCAGCCTGATGTGGTCACATTCTGCTTGGGCTTTGAAAAAGTGACACTTTTTTATATCCAAAATAAGGATGGCCCGCAGGTCCAGAGCCATTTTTCAGGACAGTGCTGTGATTTCAGTGAGGATAATTGATCTTGTATGTGTTTGTATTTGTTGTGTTCTGTGTTTAATATGTCTGTCTGTCTGTCTGTCTGTCTGTCTGTCTGTCTGTCCGTCTCTCCATCCATCCATCCATCCGTATATGTTTTTGATCAGAAGGGTTGAAAAAATATATGCTCAATTGGCTGTTAACCATCACACTAGATATAGAAGTACATTGCAATGTGAGATGCAGTATTCCATGTATATGTATGATAAAAATATAGTATATTTGTTTGTGTCATTGAATTTAATAAAATTCATTATTAATTGTTCATTTGTTACTCGTGTTATTTAAATTTTCACAATTTAAATGTGGTATTATTTATTTATAGATACATTGTTAGTGCAGCGTTTCTCCACTGTTAACGTTGTATTTTAATTATGTTATGTTTCATTTATTGAAGTTTAGTGTTATTTTATGCTACATAGGTTATTTTATCTTAATGCTTTGCATTGCATTTGAAATCCAGTTGTGTGATAACTTTACATTAACATTTAGTCATTTAGCAGACTTACAATTGAGGAGATATTCAGCGATTCAACAAGGAGGCAATACACACAAGAAGTGCTAGTTATACAACTTGTTTGTGCTCAGACACTTTAGTGCTACAGTAGGAGTGTTTTAGAGCAAGAGAGAAAGTGCTTCTACAGTTGGTTTTGGTTTTATTCACTAGGGTTCAGGTGTTCTTGGAAGAGTTGGGTTTTTAGTTGTCGTTTAAAGGATACCAGTGAATCCGTAGTCCGAGTGGGAATAGGAAAACCATAGGGTTGTCACGATACCATTAATTAATCTTACAATAATATATCAGCTGAAGTATCACTATACAAAGTAGTTTTGCGATATCGTAATTCATAACTCAAATTATAAAGAAAATTTTCCAGAAATACTATATTTTGTGTTATAATATGCCTTGAATGTAATTGCATTTTAATGACTTTTCTTTATGCAACATTATCTATTGTAGATAAACTATTAATGACGATACTACCGTTTACAAACTACAGTTGCACCGCCAGTATTTTGGAGCCATAGTATCACTATACTACCATAGTACTGGTAAACCGTGCAAACCTAATTCCACCAACATCCACATTCCACACAATAGTCTAGTTATTGTGTAATAATTGAGTAAGAAGACATGCTCACAAACTGTTGGTCAAATGTTTCACATTTGCCACCAAGAAACGGAAACATGTCATCTGATTGGGTAAATTATGCTGGATTGCTGTGAGACGTTTCATGTTCTTTTTACGGCCTGCTTAGAAATAAAGCTGTCATGACCGCAAACTCCCTGAAACGTAATAAATCTGTTGTGTTGTGTACAGCTGTGACCGTTGGCAGTTGATTATGATCAGTATAGTGCACACTATAGAACAGTAAATTTTACTTACATTTTTAACTTGTTATTGTAATGACATTAGCAATACATTTTTACATCTCTAAACATGATTCTGAACAAAACAATCTGTGTTTGGTTGTTTTACATGTCAGTTAAACACCCTGTAGGCAGCCCTTGGCCAATGAATGTTGAGGTGTAGGCCTTCTGCCATGAAGTATCAAGAAAGAGATTAAAAATAAAGCTAATATAAAGCAACTGGAATTGTTTATGTGGATTGCTTTATGGATTATCAACAGTGTTGACGCATTACAAGTAAACGTGAGTTATGTAATAATACTTCTATTATAATTAACCAGAACCGATTTCTGTGACTGAAGTATATTCATTATCTTGAACACATCAAATAAAAGAAAAAGAGGATCGTCTCAATGGACAGTGATTTTACTTGACTAATGATACAAAAAGGACCAAACACATTGCTTTATACTTTAATAATCTGTATATTCAGCATGCTTAGCTCTGGGGTCCGGAAGTTCTCAGAAGATAACATTATCCTACATTATTATTTTTTTGTGTGTTTTTTTAAGGAACATTTAAGTGGTTATAAAGTGCATTGTTAAATGCAGAGCTCTTAAATAAATGCATAAAAAAACTGCAAGATCTGAGATCAAGCCTCAACCAGGTAAGGTAAAGTGACACAAAAGTAACAATGCATTACTTACCATAAAAACTGAAAACTAGTTACTTTTTTGGAGAGTAACTCATTATTGTGATGCATCACTTTCTAAAGTAACTTTCCCCAGCACTGGTTATCATATTTCACATATTACAGTGTGTCTTTTAAAAGTATTAAAAGTTGATAAATCAATGTAAAGAAATTTAAGGCCCTTAAAAAGTGTTAAAGTCTTCAATGCTATTTTGCAAGGTAATATTATTATTATTTTTTTCATTTTTGATTATGCAATGTATGGTTGTATGCGAAAGTTTGCTTGAATTAAATCTGTGAATGTCAGGATGCAGTGTAGTTTATAAAATCAATGAAATCCTACTAGATTTGACATCATACTGCTTTGTTTACTGAAGTAACCAAGGCAACACCATTATTTCTGCAGTTCTATAGGCTGCTTAAAATTTAATAGATTTTTATTTAGTATATGAATAATGTTTTAGTTTTGGATTGTTTTTTGCTTGTTTAAACTACTTATTTCAAATAAGCTGAAATGTCACAATACTTGAGATTTCATTGGGACAACTTAGTTTTTTTATCTTTAATCCACATAAATTTGTTAAAAGTGTTAAGTTAACTTAATCAATTTGTATTGGGACAACATGAATGATTTGAATGGAACCCTGCATTTTTTACGGTATACATTAATATTTAGTAAATATACTGTAAGTGAAAATCTTGCCAGTATTTCAGGTTGAAACTTAAAGTGGTTTTAAGGTCTTAAAATGTATGGAAAGAGTATTAAAAGGTATTGAATTTCGCTGT